TTCTAATTATTGATTAAGGCCCCTATCTTATCCTCCTCTACACTAAACTTGGAAGCTCAAACAGCAGTGTTTGGACAGGACTGCTGTCTGTGATGGGCAGCTGTGCAAACTAGGGCGAATGCATCATAGGTTCTACAGCTGAAGTGTCAAGGAATCCCGACGAATCAGATTGGTTTTTGTTCAGGCGTCTAAATTACTTTTTTACAAGAGCACGAGGACACAGCGACCTTACGGGATAATGAATATAGGAGCCTTAATAATTAGAACAGGATTTGGGGGGGGGGGGGCGCGTTATACTATAGTTATATTAAGGAACCCCGAAACTAATATAGGTAGTTCTTGAGGCTCCTATCTCAATCATTTCCCATCCTTGACATCTCTCTACTGATCCCTAAACACGAAGCCCTGATAACCTTCAGTTGCGCCCTAAAGGAAAAAACAAATCTTAACAACCCTAAACCCTAAACCCTAAACACCCTACACCTTAAACCCAGCAGTCTGAGGAAATGGCTCAATGCGGAACTCCTTCTCCAAGTACCTCGGTGCAGCGACTCAGGGAACTTTGCATGCTGCTAAACCATACACCCTAAACCCTAAAACCATAAACCCTAAAACTCTAAACCCCTAAACCCTATGTTCAGAAGAGCGTGATGGCGCAATTGGACCTTTCACAGTGGTCTTCTCTGCGTGTGGGTTGCTGTAGGCTACCTGTACCTCTGCTGTCCACACGACAGCGTGGTCCGAAGAGGGTTTAGGGTTTAGGGTTTAGGGCTTAGGGTTTAGGGGCTTAGGGTTTAGGGGTTTAGGGTTTAGGTTTAGGGTTTAGGGTTTAGGGTTTAGGGTCATGAAGCACCCACAAACTAATTGTAGAAACCCTTACGCAGAACCTTATAAAAGTCGACCATCTAATGTAGGGGCTTTATTAATTAGAATGGGGTTTTGGGGTTTAGGGTTTAGGGCTTAGGATCATGACGCACCCACAAACTAATCGCACAGGCCCTTGCGCAAAACCTTATAAACGTCGACCATATAATGTATAGGCCTTATAATAATTATTTTTATTAGAATGCGGTTTTGGGGGTTCTTATGATATAATTATAATGAGGAACCCCCAAAATAATATAGGTAATTATGTAGGCCCCTATACTATTGCCTTTGAGTCCAGCGCCAGCTTCAAACTCAAATAGGCTCCCGGGGACCCTGATGGGCCTTATAAATAATTAGAATAGGGTTTGGGGGTATATTCTACCATATTTAAAATAAGGAACCACCCAAGACGCAATTGGTAATTACAAAGGCGCCTATATTAAACCGAACCCAAAACCCTAACAAGGAAGATGCCGAGAGACGGATCCTCCATCATCCGCATCGCTGTCCAATGCCGGCGGACCTGCTGGAAAAAGGATCTACCGAAAGTCTCCATTATGCTTCCCTTCTTGTGGTTTAACTAGTAAAACAGGAACTACATTGGAGACTATAGTATAGGTAGGATGCTTCTGTCACCAGACACCGACAGGGTTTAGGTTCAGAGTATATAATGTAGGGCTTCGGGATTGGGGTGTAGGATCGATTTTGAACCTCAAGCGATCTACGGTAATATTTCTAAAGAGGATGGAACACTTAAGGCACCTCGTCTGCCATGGGAGCCGGCTAAGCCAGACCTCCAGCCCTAAAGCCCTAAAGCCCTATAAAGCCCTAAAGCTCTAAAGCCCTAAACCCCTAAAACCCCTAAACCCTAAAGCCCTAAACCCTAAAACCCTAAAGCCCAATAACCCTAAACCCCTAAACCCCTAAAACCCCTAACCCTAAAGCCCTAAACCCTAAAACCCTAAAGCCCAATAACCCCTAAACCCTACACCCTAAACTCTAAACCCTATAAGCCCTGAACGAGCAGAATTCCTAAAACCCTAGAGCACTTTAACCCTATACCCATAAACCCTCATGTGCTTTTCACCGTGGATCCTGTCGAAGCCCAGCGGTTCCTTAAGATCCGTTCTCAGAGACTCCGACATCCCTTAAATAAGGAATACATTGAAGCCCAGCACCCTGGGCCAAAAAAGTTTAAACTTTTCTTTTAGTAGGGGGTCTAATATACCAAAAAGTTTAAAGTTTACCTACTGGGCTCCTAAGATAAGGAATATGCCTTAAATCTTACTAGGGCTCCTAATTTAAATTAAGGTATAACCCTTAAATAAGACATGTACCTTAAATTATACGAGGAACCCCATAAGATTTCAGGTATATTCCTTAATTCAGGGGTTTTGGAGAAACAAAGGAAGCCCGGGGTGTGAGGCACGGTCGTCTGCTTGGTCAAGAACTTATTGGCTCTCATCATGCACGTGCTGAATGTCAGATACGACTCCACCTCCTTCAGAGTCTCCAAATCAACGAAAAAGTACTCGTCGGACACTTCATCCAGGCAGAGGTTTCGCGCGTGCATATCCGGGTAGAAGCACGGGCGCGCGTCGAAGGCGTGCTTGCACGCAGTGACAGCTTTCAGAAACTCTTGTGCAACCGATTGCACGAGACGGTTCGAGTCATCGTCTCTGGGTTGGCTCCAAAGTGGAAGCCCGCCAGAGCCGTCATGCCTTCCCAGCTTCTGCCACGGCTTGGGGTTGAGGGCTTTGGGGTTTAGATTGTTTTAGGGGTTACGGGTTTAGGGTTTCGAGACTCTAAACTCTAAACCCTGAACCCTAGGGGTTTAGGGTTTAGGGTTTGGGGACTCTAAACCCTGAGCCCTAAACCCTAGAGGTTCAGGGTTTAGGGTTTGGGGACTCTAAACTCTGAGCCCTAAACCCTAGGGGTTTAGGGTTTAGGGTTTGGGGACTCTAAACCCTGAGCCCTAAACCCTAGGGGTCTAGGGTTTAGGGTTCATGGCACGGGCTTTGGGCTCGGGGCCCTCGAATGCTTCTGATGAAGCCTTGAGTCGGAGCGAGCCATGTTCTTAGAGGGCTTAGGGCTTAGGGCTTAGGGCTTAGGGCTTTGGGTTTAGGGTTTAGGTCTTTGGGTTTAGGGTTTAGGTCTTCGGGTTTAGGGTTTAGGCTTTAGGGCTTCCTAAACCCTACACCCTAAACCTTAAGGGGTTGAGGGTTTAGGACTTAAAGCTTAGGGTTTAGCCGAGCTCGCAAATAGCTGGCCAAAGTCTGCGACGACATGTTTGAAGAGCCGCCCGCAACTTGACAATGGTATAGTCGGAATGTGCCTAAACCCTAAACCCTAAACCCTAAACCCTCAACCCTAAACCCTAAACCCTAAACCCTCAACCCTAAACCCTACAGAAACCCTAAATCTAAACCCTACGCCCTCTGGCATTTCTACTCCTCTATCTCGGTGCGGACAGCATGGGTCGACTGGAACCTATGTAACGGCACAGACTCACGGGTTGCTTTTGACAGATTCCATGTACGTTTTCTTTACTTAGTCTTCGGAGATTTGTGTGGAGCTGAGGGCGTATGGCTGTGCAATATGGGTAGTTCTCTAAATTAGGGTCCCTTTTGTATCCCCACTATAGTACGGCACCCTTACAAAAAGGACCCTTAAAGGGAACCTAGTTTAGAGAAAGGGACCAAGCAGAGCTTAAACGCTCTGTAAGGCTCAATACAGACAATAAGGGTTGGCTATGCGGGCTTTATGAGACACCAGGTTTCTACAAGGGTTATAAGAGATTCAAGTTTTCGGGCTACTTCGCAGATCAGGGCCTTAGTAAGTAACAAGCCCAACATATCCGCGAAAGACTTTCAAAGAAAAGGACCTCATCCCAGGCGCCAGGCGCGAACCTGAGGCTTACTAACCTAGCGGGATAAAAACACATAAATAACTAAATACATTTCATTAAGTAGTATGTATATATATATATATCTGTTTAGGGTTTAGGGCTTCGGGTTTAATGTATACACTGTTATCATGGAATGAGGTCCCAAAAACCATAATCAGGATGGTCTTTGGGCAACTAGTTCCATGATAGTAGTATATATGGACCCTCTGGGTAAGGGGTTTAGGGGGCCTTAATGATTAGAAATTTGATAGGGTGTAGGGTTTAGGGTTTAGGGGGTAGGGGCCTCGATAATTGGAGGCTTATAATGGAACCTATAATATAAGGATTACAATAATATACAAGGACCTAATATATGGTGCCTTAACAGGGTCCCTTTAAAGGTCAACTTTCAAAGAAGGATTGTTACAAGGATTTGGTATAGGGCGCCTTAATAATCTGAATAGGACTACTACCAGGCCTTTTAAGCGTTAGGGGCCGTGAGATTTACAGTTAGAATAAGTTTCCTTTAAGGGTTACCGGTCAAAAAACGATTGCCTTCAGGGACCCAGGACCCATGAATCCCATGAAGGTTCTATGTATAGGGGTTAAGCAATGGAAGAGGAGTTTTGGGGCCCTTAGGGTTTATAGTTCTGAGTTTATCTTTAGGTCTTTAGCTGCTTTAACCTTAGCTTTGCTACGTAGTTTTAGGCGTTAGGGCCTTGGGGGTTTAGGGTTACGGTTACGGCGGTCAAGGCTCGGCTAAGGCTTAGGCCTTCGGCCTTAGGCCTTAGGGCGTTGAGGGTTTATGGCAGGGCTTAACCCTAAACCCTAAAC